TGTTGCTAGTGTCTGCTGTCCTTTTCATGCATTTTTAACTAGACTGTGTCAGTCATCGGTCTGGCGACATTAAGGAGACAATTACGACTATCTCTCACGATAATCATACAAGTGCTCTTCCCGTTCTCGCTGCCGTTGCTCAGGCAGGGGCAGCAGTGATTGATTTGGGCAATTTGTTCTGCTGATTACAAGCTGCATGGAAGCTCGGCGTCAGCCTCTCTCATGCTCCTCTTTACCACACACACACGTACACACACACACATGCTCTATGCTTTATTTCAAGCCCTCGTCTCACCAGCAGCACTATGAAGAAACCATATAAAAAGCTGATATATGTTTGACAACATAACCCCCCAAGGTTGCACAYGGAGGCTCTCCCTTTATAGAAAAAGGTGCTGCTCTGTGTGCCTCTAGGCTGTTTTCTTTTTTTGCGTGTGTAATGTTTTTTCTTTGTGCCTCTGTCTAACCTGTTGTCTTCTTACCCAGCCCTCCGTGCTAAAGTCAACTTTTGGGACGATTCTGAATCTGGTAACACTGGTCCGTGTTTTTTCCTCTACCTTCCTTCGTTTGTTCTTTCTTTCACATTTCACACTTCACCTCTTTCACCTCAACCAACCTCCCTCACCATCACCTTAACCTTTGGCGGCCAAACTCCAGCCCGCTGCTCCCCCTCCCACCCCCCCAGGTGATCAGCAACCAGCTCACTAACCTTACCCGTCAAAGAGACGCAAACACACAATCCATCACTCACCCCTATCCCCGAAACGAGCACCATGTGAAGGCAGAGGGAGCTGAGGGGTAGGAGAAAAGGCTTTAAGCTGCAGTGTGGYTTCAGAATCATATCTGTTATTCTCTCCTTTTCTCTGTTCAGCGACCATGAAGTTCTCCGGCTTCCTGAACCTTGACCAGGTGGAAGGGCAGGAGATTTTCCACACTCCTGAGATGGACGACCAAAAATCGGAGTTGTTTGGAGAGACGGCCCGCAGCATAGAGAGCGCTGTAAGTGCCCCGTCTTGTTGTCCTGCCTTTATCAAGTCTTTTCCATTGTCTYCTTTGTCTTTATGTGATTTTTTTAATTTCCCTTTTATTTAGTAAGTATTCAGTCCCTAACATTAAACTACTAGATATTCAAAATTTACAACAAATTTGACTTGAGAAATAGAATTTATTGGAAAATTGCATTGTGAATGCTGAACAACTTCRCTCAAATTTGTTAAAGGTGAAACTGAAAGAAGCAGAACGCTTGTTAAAACTAGAAATTTATTTATTATTTACCRTTATTTAACCACGCAMRTCCCGTTGAGATCTCAGATCTCTTYTCCAAGGGAGGCCTGGGCCTGAAGGCAACCTATTGTACATGTTTTTAGGRGTGGGGGAAACCGGAGTACCCGGAGAAAACMSACGCAAGCACAAATRGCTGACGAGTGAAAGCAAAAGGCTAGCTAAAGCTGCAAGACCGTAGCTATAAAAGTAGCAAAGAGTAGCTAAAGAGTAGCATAAGAAAATAAAAATAGTGTAAGTATACGTAACAAGTTAAAAAAAATTATGTATTTCTTTTGATTAAGATATTTGTAAACTAGATACCACATAGCTGTAGCATATATGACCCCCGCATGTTCCCAAAGCACCAATTTACCAGAACTCACCAGAACGGATTTGCTGTTTTGGGTGGGGTTTCGAGGGGGCTCAATGGTGGGCCCAATGGATAGCCCCTCATCAGAGCTAAACGACAAAYAAAAGAAAAATCTGAAGCTCCTATGTTGAATAGTTTTTTTTTTTTGAGTTATAAGCATTTTTATATGTCCAGACACCCCTTTTTTTAGATGGAGCCCCCTCCTCAAGTATGGGGTCTATTATAAAACCGTTGGATGGCACAGTGTAGTTTGAACTCATCTAAAKTCCCGCCAAATTTCATGTTGGTCGGTGCAGCCATTTCTGTGATGCAATTGGCCAAAAATCACTAAAATGCGTGTGTCAAAATAAAGGTAAATGCATGTATAAATGGCTAAAAAGCACAAAGTATGCAGAAGCATTTATTTAGATAACAAAAAATATGTAGATGAAAAGCAGAAAAGCAACTGAGTGAATGCACTGATTCACACAATGACTATGAAGACAAAGAGCTTGTTTTAACAAACAGAACAATCACAGCTTTAAGTATCACTCAGCTCTAAAAGCCACTTCTTTMGCTACTTGTTGGTTTTTAGTCTCACAAACATAACTCTTAAGCTAAGCATATCCAGAAGCAGCTGACAGCTGTTTTTAACCGCAAAAAAAAAAAAAACTTTAGGCAGAGCAAACAATGACAGGTTTTAGGTTTGGAAATAATTCAATAAGCTGTATTTTCAGCTTGTTTTTCTGCCCTCAAGTGTCCAGCTGACAACTGACTCAAGTCAAAGTTGTCACTTTGTGGCCACTGGAAGAATAAAATAAATAAAAAAAAGTCTCCCTGAACGTATAAGGTTTTTTCTAAAACTGTTCTTATCAAGAGGCCAAAAGCTCCTGAAAACGACGACTCCGAAGCGTCCTGACACAAAGAAACTCCTCGCGGAGAGCCCGTCTCATCGAACTCTTTCAGCTCTTTCGTGCAGGTATCGCCACACAGTTTACCGACTCGACACCTCAGAAGCTGCCGAGTATCAGCCTGACACGCTGAGCCCGAGCGGTTTCTCTGACGTCTGATAGAAAAACAGAAATCATAATTTAAAAAAAAGAATGCATTTATTCTCTCTGATCAGAGAGCATACATCATCTCCCATGCCTTGGCTCTTTTTTGATTTTTAATAAAAAGGAACATATCTGCAATCTATTCTATCAGGTGATCTGCAGAACAGATTACTCTCCACAATCCAACTCCATTTTTTATGACCCAGGTCAGCGGATCAGAAGGAAAAACAAGGCTTTTCACTGCAGTTTTTTTTATTTTTTACTGCTTATTTTCAACTTTCTCTCGCTCTCGTTGGCAGTGTATCTTTGTAATCCCAGCTTTTATTTCTTTTTAAAGAAATAACTGATTAATTAAAGCACTTTTATAGATTTTGGCTTGCTTGGCTTGAAGAAACACTCTCCGAGTTTAATAAGACCGCTTCTAACGCCTCTCTGTAGACTCTGTGTGTTTGCTTGCCGAACACTTCACAATACTTGAAAGTGGTTTTTCTTTTGAGATTAATTAAAATTTTTTGCAACTGTTTAAAGATTTAAAGTCCTTTTTTTTTCTTGTAGATGCGAATCTTCTAATACTAGATACAAAAAAAGCAGTTAGCAAGTCAAAGTCAGAGTGGCACAGAGCCCCCCCACCACTGGCTTTGTCCACTATTAGTCCGTTTTCTCTTCAGATCTGAGGCCTTTGAACAAGTATCTGTTCCAGGACTTTGCTCCTCTGATAAAATGGGAACTGTTAGTTTGTGTGCACTGTACACATGTACCAGCTGTTAAATCGGTGTCACTAGCCCCCACTGGGACCTAATCTGCTACCTCACAGCGATTTGTGCATGTGTGTGTGAGTGCTCGTTAACGCTCTCAGCCTGTGGGTCTCTTGAAGCCCGGTGTGGCACTTGACAGCAGCCACCCCTCCTCTTCATCTTCCAGCACCACCAACTGAGCTCCTCACAAACAGACTTGAAGTGCGTTCGAAAAATAAAAGCGGGCCGTTTACATGAAAAAAGGCGCGTTTCTTTGGCGCGGCGTTCTGCTCGTGTTTTTATATATAAACTGCAACGTTTGAGAGGAAGAACACAAGAAGGAAGCGTGTCTTTTGTGAGAGTTTTGTGCACCCGCGACTTTCAGCTCTAATCCAGCTTTGGAGGATTTCCCACCTTCGTCGTTGCGCCTCAGTCCACAAATCGGAGGCGTTCGGCACAAGAAATTAATCTTTTAACACGCCGAATGCTCAAGCTCGACAAAATGCACTTAATCATCATTCTCGCTGACCAATCGGCAGCTTTCCTTTCGCATTAAGCGCTCACTTCTTTCGAAGCGGCTGTGACTCAGGAGGTTTGAAAGTTGTCTACTAATCAAGTTCATTGGCTAAGATACTGAATCCCACATTTCCCTGATGTGTTCATTATACAGGCGCGTATTTGATCCGTCAAATAATAAAAAAGTCCTCTGTTAGTGGTGCTTAAAGCTCTTTAAAGGCAGTCTGTTTAGCATTTGTTTCAGAAAACACAGTGGTTAAAGCGTGCCCTCTAAATATTTGAAAAGTATGTGTAAATTTGGCTCTTTACATCAGAGAGGGCGTTAGATGTGCAGCTGAAGGAAAATGACAAAAAGTAGATATACGGTATTGATGCAGTTAGAGAGGATTTAGAGTTATGTTTCTTTTTTTAGTTTAAATTAATACTGTATAACTACCCACTATTTACTTCTACTACTTGTCATCCTTCAGAAGGCAACCTATGACCTATTATGGTCAAAGGTTTTTTATTGCTAATATAAAGTGGGTAAAACTCCTACATGGTCAAGTTGGTCTCCCATCCAGGTACTAACCAAGCCCGAATCTGCTTAGCTTCCGAGATCAAATGAGATCTGGCATCTTTAGCCCTGTTTAGCCTTACTTAATCATTATTAAATGGTTAGTTAATCCTGAAAGTATGATTCAAACCTAATGAGTTATAAATTAACACATTTATTAATGCTTTGACCGTAAAGGTTAGTTACTTTCAAAACCAACATACCCATTGTTTATTCATGTTTAATAATGCATGATGCTTGAATTAACTGTTCTATATACTGTGTATATGTATGTAAATGCTCATATAAATGTACTTTCACACCATGTGTATTAATGGTTAGAGAATGTTTTAATTGGCTATGATTTTGGTCTGATTTCCAAAGGTGTAAAGGAACCTTGTGGCCCTTCAGGGTTTTCAAGATTTAATGATTCAAAGTGTTTGTCAAATACACAGATGAAACATATTTCCTCGAGCAATGAAATTCTTACTTTGCCAAGAGACAACCAGACAAAAAAAAAAAAAAAACACTTAAAGGATACTAAGAAAGTAATAACAGATAGGACAAACAACCACACTTAAAACAGAGACCAAGCTAGAGTGAATAACATCACTCTAGACATCAAGAAAGGGAACAACGTTATCAGTGTTGCACCATCAGTGCTAAAAGAAGCCTAATTTTCTCCAATATTAGCTTCCTCTCCAAGCCGTCCGTCCTGTTGGGTCATAAACACTGTGAGTTACTGGAAGTGAAACCAATCAGAACATAAAGGGTGGGATGGCATTTATCTTTGCTGCTCCTGAAAACTTGCTCCTAAAATGAATGTCACCTCAGCCAGCTAAATGTCACTTTCTGCTCCCACGCCCATTGGCTTTCCTCTCGTCGGACCAATTTGAGCGGCAGTCTTTCTCCCAAACGAGGCGAGCGTGTGGTTTTGTTGGCCGAATGCTCGGAGCTCGTTAGACGCCTCGTTCATCACCTCTCTTTGTCTCTGTCCCTCTCTCTCTCTGCTCCAGCTAAACGAGTTGTTCAGGAAGTCGGCGGTGCACAGAGACTTTATGGGCGTTCGCGTCCGCAACCTGAAACCAAGCCGCTCCATCTTGGCAGTGGTGGAGGCCCACTTCAGACCAGGTGAGACATCAAAGGCAAAACTTAGAGATTTAGAAAAGTGTTCTTAAGCGCTTGATAATTAAAAAAAGAAATGTAAAGAAGTTGTTTTTTAAGCTTTTTTTAAGATATTGTAAGGTATTGCATCTTCTTCTTTATTCTGAATATCTGCAAAAATTACTACWTACATTGTATTTAAACAATTTGGTTGATGCACCATAATATGTATTTTTTAATTTTCGTAATGTGCTKCCAAACCAGAGGCTCCTCCATCCTCTTTTCCTTTTTTWWTWWTTTTTTTATGAGCAACATTTAGCGTCCTTCACACCCTTCATGTGGGGCGACGGATGCCRTTACRTGGCGCTCCTCCATGGCCTGTAAAACAAACATCTGCGGCTGACATTATGAGAGCGATTCATCTGGAAAAAAGTCGGACAAGCGGTGTTTGGAGGACAAGTGGTCCGCGGAGGCCCTCCACCTGTCATACACAAGGCTGTTTGATGTATTCATTGTAGCATTAAAGGAGCTGGAGTCCTGTGTTTGCTTTGTAGTGCTCCTCAGAGGCCTCGTCCTGAGTGGTTGTACCTTTTTGTTTATTGTAGAGACACGATACACCGAGGAGGACATCGTAGAGGCCCTGCTGAAACAGCTAAAGGCCTCCAAAGGCACCAGCATCTCTGTGAAGAAGCCCGAGAACGAGAATATTGGCTTCACTAATTATGGTAATATCATGTGGATTTAACAGGAATGTGAAAGGATTTAAAAAAAGACTTTGAGTTATTCATGAAGTGCTTTATCACAGGTTTTAAGTAGAAAATCTCACGAACAGGCTCAGCATACTTGAGCATTTTTTTATTATTAGGGATGCACAGATATGAAAATTTCATCTATATGGATATCTGATACTAATATTGCTGTTATGGCAGATAACTGATATTTACCGATAATACACAAACTGACAAATTATTTCTATCTGCTCAACACACTCGACCAACCATCTTCCATCCTGAAACAGAAACACAAAGGGAAACATGCAGAAAATCAATGTCGGGCGTTAATATTGGCCCAGTTTTACTTATTGGACTGATACTGATATAAAAAAAAAAAAGACTAACGTTGTCCGATACAGATTTTAATGCCGATATATCGTGCATCCCTAATTATTATTTTTTTGTTATTTTTATTTATTTATTTAATCAGGACAGTGAACATTAATGAACAATCTTATACTTCTGTATAGACTGCAAATGAGCTAGWTTATAGCATAGTTGCTAATTTACATCTGTAGTCCTATTATCCTTATTATGGTACCATATATTATTACATATAATATTGTACTATATTACTGAATTATACATATCCACAACTATCAAAGGGAGCCTATTGTAAAGCATAAGACAGTAGATACACAATTTATTAATGACTAATAAACATGTATAAATGTCATAAGGGAGCCTTATATATAGTGTATTATTTTACACTTTACATTAAGGCTCCTGTATGATATTTATACGTTTATTAGTCATTAATAAATAGTGTACCTACTGTCTTATGCTTTACAGTAAGGTTTCCTTATGACATTTATACATTTATTAGTCATTAATAAATAATTGATAATTGTGGAAATGTATAATACAGTACAACATTATGTGCAAAATATGTGTTTCCAATACATTATTGTGCTTACAAAGAAGAAACTTAGTCTAAAATGTTAAAGATAACATTTTAGATGTAATATTTGGCTCACTATTTGGCAGGAAACCAGCCAGTTTTGTCTCTTTCCCATTCTTAATTAATGCATAAGAAAAACTTATTAAGGACTTATAGTGTTCACAGATGAATTAATAACCGATCYATAAATTATTTATAAGCCATCTATAAGGGGAGCCTTATTGTAAAGTGGTATCATTATTATTATTATTATTTTAGGCCTGTCCAGCGTCCCTCTCTTCACCACTACAACCACCACCACACCGGCCATCACCACAGCTGCCCCCATCACCACGACCAGGCTTCCGGCCACCTCCCCCTACGTCACCCGCCGCCCGCCGGGCACGACCCGCAGGCCGCTCAACAACAGGCGGACSACCACCACAGCGGCGCCGGTCACCACGCCGCGCCACGCCATCACCACCACCACGCTGCCGCCGGCCACCACGACCGGTGGCGTTCGGAAAACGCCTCAGCAYAAGCCCGCCAAGCCCTGCGACTCCCACCCCTGTCTCCACGGGGGCACCTGTGAGGACGACGGCAGCGACTTCAGCTGCAAGTGTCCTTCTGGTCGAGGAGGGGCCGTGTGTGAGAAGGGTGAGTCAGACAGCTTTRGAGCTTCGTTTTTGTTAAATATTAAATATTTATTGTCTTTATTTTTTACTTTTAAAATCTGAGCTTACCGTATTTATTCAAGTATAATACGTAAAATTTAATCCATAAAATCATCCATAAAGTTGGGGCGGTAGTACTATACTCGGATAAATATTCTCACTTATGTATTTTAACTGAAATATCATCAAAATGACTGAGTCCGGAAATGAGCATCGTGAAAAGCAGTTGAAATGAGCTTACCTCTGACACTCCTCCGTGATTCAGAGTGAGATAATAACAGATTCAGGCAGGCGACATGATGTGAAAAAAGGGGGGATAAGCAGTCCTGCACCTTAGTAATGATAGCGAACTAATGACATTAGCGTGTGACCGAGCCACTCCTCGAACAACAACAAACATGTTCGTCTGTAATGGCTGCCATCTACCGGTGTTCTGAAAAAGTTTGTATCCCTGAAAAAACGTTTCCCCACCAGAGGGGGTGCTCGCGAGTAGGAAGTAATCTGCTTTTCTCCCACAAGATGGTCCAAATCTCATGTGAAGTCTCTGACTTTTGTGTTGGCGCCTCCTGGTGGACTATGTGCAAAATATCAGAATTCATATAATGCCCAAAATCATAGTTTGTCAAAATAACTTTTTGGACATATGTTGTTAAAAATAAAATGAGCAGTCCAATGA